TCTGTAAATCCATAGAGAGACTACCTCTCTTGGGTTTTTGTGTAAAATACTTTGTCTCAGTCCATGATCCTTTCCTTTCACAGTCCTGGATTGGTCTGGGGGAAAGACAGGATCATGACACTAGCTCACAACTTTAATGCCAGTAGCTCACAAAGTAGAGATTTTGCTCACAAGACCCCACAGCTTAGAGGGAGCATTGCCCACAATTCATTATTTTTTTAAATAAATGATGCTTAATATTCATTTTTGTGTAATGAGCAAGAATCCCCCCCCCCACAGAGCAGAGGTAAAAAATCAAGCCATCTCAGGGCTACTAACCAGCCTGGTCAAAATGAACCAGAAAAAAACAAAATAAAACCAACGTGGCCAAAGATTTCTTAGCTTTCTGCAAGATACAATGCCCTCTGCACATGCTCCAAGACACTCAACCCTCACACTGATTTTTTTTTTTAAGCTGTTTGTCTGAACGGAAAGGGTGCTTCAGACACCTTCACCCAAAATGGGCAAAATTTTTGACATTAAAAAAATAATAACAACAATCCTGGGTAACTTATCAGGGGAGGGTAGAAGTGAAGTCAGATCTGCATAGACTGTTCTGTCTGACGCTGAATTAAATCAATTTTATTCAGTTCCACATGCATTCAGAAGAGTTCTTACTCACATCTTTTGTAATCTAATTCTGTTCACTGGCTCATGGTGAAAAGGATTGTGCGTCCCCCCTCCTTGCAGTTTTAAGAGGACAAAGACCACAGGAAGAGAGCTGTAATTCTGCTGTGGGATGTCTAACTAAAGACTTCAATTCCCAGGAACCACTGCTCTTAAAGGTATATGGCAGTTCTACTTAACTACAGTTTAAACGCTGGCTGGGGCAGCACATAGACCCTCTAGATTTTTTTATATACAGGGATCCTCTTTCACATACACACACACGTCCCAAATCGACCACCAAACTACAGATCAACTTGGATGTCTTCAGAGTACATCGTAGAAATCACAGCTCCAACACTCCACACTGCTCTTGTAGCACAAATGCATGGATCCTCCTGTTTTTTTGCACGCGGTCCTCCAAAATCTACTGCCAGTTCCAAATACACACCCATGCTCACTGATGCCGGTGTGATCTTTGATTCTATGGTGGATTTTGGTGGTTTGCAATGCTCCCTCTAAGCTGTGGAGTCTTGTGAGCAAACATTCAACTTTGTGAGCTACTGGCATTAAAGTCGTGAGCGAGCGATTGGGCTGCTGCATGAATCAGTTTGCTTTAGCGCTATCCTCCCTGAGCCAAGACAAAACTGTGTGAGCCGGAGGCTAAAAACTGTGAGCTAACACCGGTTCCATGTAAAAATCATGAGGATCCATGCCTCCCATGTGCCACAGCGATGTCATGAAGTGCCAGGTCCAAGTTTTTGGCCATCCAGTCCACGGACATTGCTGTGACACACAAATGCCTTGTTACATTCAGAGGAACCAAACATACAGACCAATCAGGATCCATGTTTTCAGTACACTTCCGTGCTAAGTTTTCTATGATACAGTTTATGGATATTGACATAATGTGTGGATTTACAGCAGGTTTTGGTTGCATCTGTGTAAAAATCATGAGGACCTGCACCTTGGATCCATCATTTCTGCACCATAGTGGCACCAGAAAACTGTGGAATCTGCTCTTTGTGGTTCACTGTGTGCAAATCACTGTGAAGAGAGATTTAGTGGTGAATTTGGGGGGGATTCCATGCAAATATCCTGAGGATCCATGTTTTGGATCCAGGTGCCATGTAGTGCCAAAATACATAAGAACATAAGAAACGCTGTGCTGAATCAGGCCAATGGTCCATCCAGTCCAACACCCTATCACTCAGTGGCCAAAACCCATGTGCCCTCAGGAGGTCCACCAGAGGGGCTAGAACTCCAGAAGCCCTCCCGCTGTTGCCCTCCGCAGCACCAAGAAGACAGAGCATCACTGCCCTAGACATAAGAGCATAAGAGAAGCCATGTTGAATCAGGCCAAAGGCCCCTCCAGTCCAACACTCTGTGTCACACAGTTGCCAAAAATACCAGGTGCCATCCGGAGGCCCAGCAGTGGGGCCAGGACACCAGAAGCCCTCCTTCTCTTGCCCCTCCTCCCAAGCACCAAGAAGACAGAGCATCCCTGCCCCAGATAGAGTGGCTAATAACCACTGATGGACCTCTGTTTATCCTGTGCCCTCTTGAAACCAGAGGGGGAGAGGAAGAGCTCAGCCATTTCCCAGCTCCAGAGAGGCCCTTCTGACACACGGGGAGGAGCCCCAGCTCTGAACTCCTCCCCAGACCCCCTCTTCCCACAAGCTAAGCCCCCCCTCATGACGGAGGTGACCCCCTCTTGTTCTCCCCCCCCAGCTCACCTGTCCTCAGCAGGGTCTCGTTGCCGTAGTCCAGGTACCTCCGCAGCCACTCCACGCATTCCCCCTCCAGGTAGTCCTTCACGTGCTGGGAAATGTCCTGCTGCCTGTCCAGCTTCTGCCTGGAGTTCTCGGCCTGGGGCACAGCGGCTGTCCAGCTGACGGTCCCCTTGTCGAAGGAGAGGAAGTCCTCCCCGTCGTAGGCGTACTGGTAATGCCCCCTGCGGAGCCGCCCGTCTGGCCCCACCTCACAGCCGTACATCCACTGCAGGGTGTGGAGCCCTGTGTGCAAGAGACACATGCGGGAGGTGAGGGGTGTGTGTGTTTGTGTGTGGGGGGTTTCCTGTCACTTGAAGGAAAGGGGGGCTTGAAGGGCAGGAGGGAGGCTGCTGAAAGGCAAACACCCTCCCACCGGGGTCTCTCCCCTCTCCACTCCCCAAAGGGGCTGCCCAGAAGGAGCTTTCCATGTCCCCCGCCCCGTCACAGGGACCTGCTCCCCACGAGGGAAACAACTGGCGAGGTGACTGTGGTAAGAAATATTAAAATAGAAGAAGGTTTTGGGTTTAAAATGAACCAAAATAGTATACATATTTCTCTCTGCCCTTGCTAGGCCTGTTTGAATCACAGCCCGTGATTCTTTTTGCAAGCTCCTCTTTTCCCAGAAGGATCTTTTTCTTGGTTACACATGCAAGGATGTAAAAACATTCCAAGGATGCAAAAACATTCCATTTCCCAGGAAAACCACTGGTGTGAGACTTGCCAATACCATCAATTTCCCAGGCAATAAGGATTGTCTAGACCATTTGGGGAGTGACAGACTTAAATTTCAAGGCAAAATGGCAATCCATCAGACTAGCTTCTTGAGATACAGAAAGTTCACATGCACCCCTACTCTCACCTTTCTGATAACATCAAAACACAGTGTATTTCCCATGATTGGGGAACACCTAAAGATAAAACCATGGCACTGTATTTGATCTTATGGAATGTGAACTCTTGTTACATGAGACCAAGGGAGGGAAACCAATTTCCTCAAAAGACAAATACAATTTCTAAGTGTTAAATTTTAACTGCAATACAATTACTAAGGGATCTCTTTGATCTCTGGTATAAATATGGGTGGTTCACAACAGACTTCAGCTGAATCCGAAAGGATTCAGTCAGAGAGGGCCTCTCGAGCGCATGCATGGGGTGAAAAAAATTCTGCTGAATGTTTATTTCTGTGTGTATTCTATCAATGTTTAGGAAACTAGGGACTCTGAATGTTTTTCTATAATAAAGATAAGTTTTATTTTAAGAAGAGACTAGTGAATTCCAAGCTTGCACATCTGCCTTGGTAAGGGGCGACACACAAGACACACACGAACTGAGGGGGGGGGAAGTGTGGGTGACAGGGTTAAACACACACCCACACATCCAAAAATCTCACAACAAATGGTGCCGTGACTAACGGAGCTCTTCCGCCCCCAAGAAGCTTGGACTGGTGAGTATGATTTGCTTTTATCTATTCTTTATTCATGGAATTCCCAGGGGTGCCAGGTGTGAGGCCCTGGAAGAGCTAGAGAGAGCTGGTGGAAGTGAATATTGGCATGCCTGTAGAGACCCAGGGACATGCAGCCGGTCTGCCTGTTGGTCTGGAAGGGGTTGGCTTAATTAGTAAGCACTCAAGTAACACTGTTTCTGTGTCAGCGTGTTGAGAATTTTCCTCGCTGCATGGGCAACAGTTGAATATCGCACCAAACTGTGCTCCTGGATTAGCCAAGTCGGTCTTGGCTTACAGGGCGCAGTCCTTTTCCTCTGTCATAGGTAATACGTTTATAAGTTTATGGGTGGGATTGGTTTTTGTGTGATTGGTGCTATTATTTTCTTCTGCTTTGTGTGAACCCCTTGGGAATCCCTGGCCACACTTGGGGCAGCTGTCTGGGATTGTAGTGGACCGATTCCAGCCCCTTACGATGGAGACAGTGGGGGTATAACACTGTCTCTAGTGAGAGAAGACTCAGCTGGCAATTTGTATAAATACACTACATATTTTTTGTTTTTCCACTGTCACTTATCCCGTGTGTATGTATGCGTGAAATAAACGCATTGAGTATATGTGTATGCGTGAAATAAACGCATTGTGTGCGTGGGCGTGAAATAAACGCATTTTATTTTTATTTGGTTTGTTATTTTGCCTTTTTTACTATGCTGGTTTACTGGGTGGGACCTTTACTACGGTGTGTAGGCAGAGAGACCCATCTGCCTGAGGGGTTTGCTCTTGGGTGCATATGAAGCCTCCTTTCCTGGAGATTATGGTTGCCTAAGTTACTTTGCTGTGGAAGTTGGCTTTTTTGTGTGTGTTATAATCCCTGGCCCCACCTTGTGCAGTCTGCACAGGGTGCACCTAAGTGTCCAATCTGGCCAGTGAAGTTATTATGCAACCACAACACCTGCTGCAGCCGCCTTTACATGGTGGCCCTGGGTGGAGTGGCAGTGAAGGAGTAAGAGCCATCTTTGGCTCTGTCCTCCTCCCTCCTCCTGGAAGTTTCGCCCCCCCTCCCCGCACATTGCACCTGTGTGGGGATCAGGGAGCACTGGACCTATATATCTTGCTAGTGGCTTTGGTGCTTTTGTTGCAGCAGGGCTGAAAGAATAATTGGGGAGCCGTTTTACCATCTTAATAGTGCTTGTGGTCTCCGGTTGTGATTTGTGATTTTAAATCTGAGCCTGTTGACAACTGGGCCCTCTGGACGATCTAAGAACGCCAGGGGGGCATTGCAGCCAGCCTCTGACCTTATGGTTCAGGTAGTAACAGAAGCTTTCATAATTGCCTTGAAGTTATTTTTTGTCATTTCGTCTTGTTTAAAGGAGAAAAAAATTGATTCTGGCCTTGTTGTGGCAGTTAACTTAGTCCCAGCAACAAGCCTGCACCAATTTGGGGAGTTTTCTCCCACCCTTCCCAGGAGCTCTCCTGGAGAGTCCAGGAATCTCCAGGACCACCACGAGGGGCTTTAGGCCTCCTTCCAGTCTGCTTGGTTGCTTCCTACAAATCACATTCCTGGTTCCCTAGCAACGGAAGAGGAACAATGCTTCTGGCTTTGGAATCTGGTGGGAGGGCTGCTGGCGTTTCAATTACAGCTCTTGCTCAGTGGAGCCTGATGGAGAGGCATCTCAAACTCTGGCTTGAGACCGCTCTTACCATCCTCATAGAAGGGAATCCTTTTTTAAGTTTCTTGGTAAATTGGTTTACTACTTCTCTCTTATATGGAAACATTTCATCTTTTATACAGGTTTCTTTTTGGTTTTATGATTAACTGTTCTTTCTTTCACAGCCCCTCATTAATTGCTCACCAGCATCTTGACAGTCCCTGGTTAGCAAAAGGGGGGGAGGAAAGTAATAATTAAGCAGTAATGGGTTTGTTGTTTTTTGAATCTTAGAACAATTTGTACATCTATTTTTTATTTTATATACCCTTTATAATACAGAACCCCACATCCCATTCTCTTCCCAATTGCCTTTGTGAGAGAATGGGGTCCCATTTGCGTCGGGTTTAAAACAGCCAACCTCAGCAGAGAACAGGATATGTTGACACTGCATTCAGTTCCCCCTGGTAGGAAAGGGGCAACTTTGCACAAGGGGACTCCATGACTTCACCCCCATAATGGGTTCCCTCCCAAATCCTATCTTTTCCAGGACGCATTCCCAAAGCTCCCCAAAGTCTCCAGGTGAAGATCTGGCAACCTGCTTGCCCTGTATGCCCCCAGTGGCCACCAGAGGCATAGCAAGATCCAGCCTAGAAGCAGGCCATTTGGGGAAAATACTGAACGACTAACCTGCAGTCACTATTGCAGCTGAGAGGTTTTTTTAGGAGCCCAATGCATTGTTTGATGTAGGGATTCCTCTTTCCTTTCCCCCCAGAATTATTGATCTTGCATCTACAGGTAGGGGTTTTTTTTGCAATTTTGCCTCCTTTTAAAAATGACCCTGACAATATTTCTAGTTGGTTTTGCAAGTCCTTTTTTGCTGATTTTAGTGGGTTTTTTTCAGTTTTATTCTTTATAAGTAATAGGGAATTAATAAATAATCAATGAGTAACCACAAGGGGAATGTGGGTTGTTTTTTTTGGTGAAGACCATGTTTTTGAGGTGCACCATCCTAGGGACTATGGATCTGCAGTGGGGTGCAGAGGGTGTGTTTACCTTCGTTTTTAACATACGCCCTACAGCAGCCATTGCAGACCAGACCATCAACAGGGATGGGGGCACAGTCCAATGGTGACAAGCTGTTTAACTCTAGTACTGCACCCCATAATAATTCAAATTCTTTTAAGTATTGCTTCAATTTGCACGGGGTGTTGGGTCAAATCTCAAATTAATTAAAAGAAAAATAACAATAATAATAATTAAAAAACACACCCTCACCCATGTTGTTCAATACTCCGCATGCCGACACCCAAAATTCTGAAGCCCCCACTCTCTGATCTTTTCCCCTTGCCGGTTCCCCATTCATAAGGCTGAGAGCCAGTTTGGTGTAGTGGTTAGGAGCATGGACTCTAATCTGGGGGAACTGGGTTTCCTTCCCCCCTCCTCCACTTGCACCTGCTGATGTGACCTTGGGTCAGTCACAAGCTCTGGCACGGCTGTTCCTGACAGAGCAGTTGGTGCCAGAGTTCTCTCAGCCCCACCCACCTCACGGGGTGTCTGTTGTGGGGAGGAGAGGGGAAAGGAGTTTGTACACCGCTCTGAGACTCCAAGTGAAGGGCGGGGTATGATTCCAATCACTTCTTTGCCTATTTCTAATCTCTGTCTTGTGTGTTGTTGTTTATGTCAAGTATGTTTTTTTTACTGTTTGCATTTCCATGTTATTGTTTGTATTGTGCTGTGGCCAATATAAGCAATATGTCTATATGTGACACCAATGTCTCACGTTCGCTTCCACCTAGAGTACTTTATTGCATAATGGGAAGGAGTAAATCCCAATACTCCATACAGATACCAATCTCCAGGCAGGAGATTTATGAGTATGGCTTTGTTCCCCAGTTCATGATGAACTCTTGGGGAATGGGGGAAGCTCACCCCCCCACATTACTTTCCCCCATCTGAAACCTCTGTATGTTCTCTATGTCGTCTTGTATGTCTACTGTGTTTTTGTTTTGTGTCATAACAAGCAGCCTTTAAAGGCTGCCCCATTTTTTTTTAGGCCACTTTTGTATTTGGAAATCTTTTGTTAAAAAATAATAATAATAATAAAAAAAATTTTGGCTTCTGCTGCCCCAGCTTAGGAGTATCTGTGGGGCAAACACAATTTTAAGTGGCACATTTTTCAAATATTTTGAGCCCCAGCACTGAGTGAGTCTACATTTGACTCCCCCCATATCTGCTCTAACTGGGGAGGGGGCTCCTCCCTCCCTCCTTCCCCCTCCCCCTTCTCTTGCCTTAAGGAGGGAGGGAGGGACGGGGGGAGGTGCTCCGGCCGGCCCCTCCCCCTCCACTCACCTGTGCTGTTCTGCTGGTTGTAGCGCTCCCGCAGCGTCTCCAGGCCCAGTCTGAAGACAGGCTCTGTGCCCTGCGCTCGCTGGCTCTGCCCTTCCCAGTACTGGGGGTCCTCCTTCCCAAATTCTTCCATCCAGGGGACTTCAGGCAGCATCTTCCTGGCGTGGCTGTCGTACTTGACGAAGGGCTGGTCGTCCACGTAGCCCACGATGCTGAACTGGGGCAGCCCCTGGCCGGGCTCAGACAGGGCCGTGTGGAAGTAGCGCAGGGAGTGGGGGGAGAAGGAGGAGGAGGAGCCGCCTGGAGGGGGGGAGACAAAGAGAAAGGGGGCGGAGTCAAGGGGGCTGTCAGTGAGGATGGGCAACCCCCAGACCCATATTCTGGGCGAGGGACCCTAAGGGGGAGGGGGGGTTTGAGGGCCGGAGGAGAGAAGAGAGAAGCAGAGGGACCAAAGAAGAGGGCCAGATGCAGCCGAGGGTTGCCAACTTCCAGGTGGGACCAGGACGTCTCCCAGAAGCACCCCTTCTCTCTCCAGACTTCAGAGACGTCAGCTCCCCTGGAGAAAATGGCTCCTTTGGAGGGCGGGATCTAGGGCATTATACCGCCCCTGAGCTCCTCCCCCTGCCCTCCCTGGGCTCCCCCCCCCGAAACCCCCAGCAATTTCCGAACCTGGAGTTGGACTGAAAAGACTGGGGTTTTTTTTGGTGAACAGAACAGAACTCCTTTGGATCACTGGCAGCGCCTGTCTGGATGACTCCAAGTATAAATGTATTTAAAATGTTTAACACATCTACATAAAAGCATTTAATTCATAAAAGCAGGTCTCCCTGGATGGGCCTGCGGAAGCCCTCGTGGAGAAAATCCCCTCCAGCCTCTACTCTCGGGCAGGGGGAGAGATTTGGTGAATCCTTTGGAAGAAAGGGTCCCAGGAACGAAGACATTCTTAGAAATCTCTCCCCCCACCCTAGAAAACAAGGGCAGAGTCAGAAGGTTGGGGGCTCAGACCAACGTCTGAGTTATGCAGCAAAGCCCCCCACAAACCATCCCACTCAAATGAAGGCCCCTGGGCAGAAATCAAGGTTCTGATGTGGGGCACTGCAGGTTTACCCCCAATGCTCCCTCTAAGCTGTGGAGTCTTGTGAGCAAAAATTCTACTTTGTGAGCTACTGGCATCAAAGGTCTGAGCGAGCGCTTTGGCTACTGCATAAATTAGTTTGCTTGGAGCAGAAATTCCTAAATAATCTAGAACAGCCAAGAGGCTTCCAGGATTTCTGTGTTTTCTCCAGATGGTATTCAGAAAGGTAAAATGCACCAAACGTAAAAGGCACCTTCTAAAGGTTTTGTTCAGATCAGCAGAGCTGTAGCAGTGGAATACAAGAACTCGTGGGCACCTTTCTCACAATACAAGAACTCGTGGGCACTCCATGGAATTGCTGAGCGGTCGGGTTAGAACAGATAAAAGGAAGTCCTTCTTCACCCAAAGAGTGATTCACACATGGAATTCACCGCCACAGGGCTACAAGCATGGACACCTTCAAAAGAGAATTGGATAAGCATATGGAGCAGAGGTCCATCAGTGGCTATTAGCCACAAGGTATAGATAGGGGCTCTGGGGCAAGTGATGCTCTGTCTTCTTGGTGCTTGGGGGGGGTGCAACAGTGGGAGGGCTTCTAATGTCCTGGCCCCACTGCTGGACCTCCTGAGGGCACCTGGTGTTTTTGGCCACTGTGTGATACAGAGTGTTGGACTGGATGGGCCTTTGGTCTGATCCAACATTGGTTTCTCTTACGTTCTTATGTTTAACTCTCGGTCTGGGGCAAGTGATGCTCTGTATTCTTGCTGCTGGGGGGGCGAACAGTGGGAGGGCTTCTTGTGTCCTGGCCCCACTACTGGACCTCCTGAGGGAACCTGGTGTTTTTTGACCACTGTGTGACAGATTGTTGGACTGGATGGGCCACTGGCCTGATCCAACATTGGTTTCTCTTAGGTTCTTATGTTTAACTCTCGGTCTGCGGCAAGTGATGCTCCGTATTCTTGGTGCTTGGGGGGGGGGCAACAGTGGGAGGGCTCCTAGTGCCCTGGCCCCACTGCTGGACCTCCTGAGGGCACCTGGTGTTTTTGGCCACTGGGTGACAGAGTGTTGGACTGGACGGGCCACTGGCCTGATCCAGCATTGGCTTCTCTTATGTTCTTAATACAGCAGGGTGGGAAGGGGGCAGGAAAAGGTGCGAGGCTACGGGGGCTGCCAAGGAAGGGCAAGAAGAAATAGGGGTGTTAACTCCCCCTACACCCAGGCACCATTTCATGGACCAATACCACCCCTCGCAGGTTGCTGATAGTCATGTTAGGGGGGAAAAGAGGGTGCCTTTTCTTTGCCTGCCCTTTCCCCCACTTGGCTGGTTCCCCACTCACTATTTAACCCACAATTGCCAGGATCTGTCAGTTCCATTTGGACGCACCATCTGGACAACCTCTTGTTCAGTCCTGTGGCACTCCGGTCTTTCCTCAGCCAGGGCAGAATCAAAAGCCTCACTGGGGGTGAGTCGGCTTCAAAAACCGTTGCAGTGACAGGAACATCCTACATAAAGCCCTGCGGAGACTCCCCAGGTCGGCTGCCCCTTCAGAATAATCTCCCCCCCCCCTCTGATTAATGAATCTGTTCTTGCCAGGCTGGGGGGGGGGGAAGTGGGCTTCAGAACTGAGGTTTTAAACACTGACACATACACATAGAACCCCCCCCCCCCAATATTCAGTGTTCCCTCTAAGCTGAGTTACTGTGGGCTAGCTCACAGTTTTTTAGCCTCCATCTCACACATTTTTTGTCTTTGCTCAGGAAGGGACGCCTCCAGAGCAAACTAATCTATGCAGCAGCCAAATCGCTCGCTCACACAACATTAAGGCCAGCAGCTCACAAAGTGGAATATTTGCTCACAAGACTCCACAGCTTGGAGGGAGCGTTGATTGTTATCAAGGACCATTTTAAAAAGAACGCTCGCATGTGAGGATTTGTTCAAACGACACACAATGCTGATTTGCGCTCTCTGCGCCTCAGGTTTCAATCGTTTGCGGCTTTGCAGCTCCTCTGTGATCTCACCCACCGGAACCAGCAGCCTTTTGAGCAAGCATCAACTGCAAAGAGAAGGAAGCCGGAAACCACGGAACAGCAGCCTTTTGAGCAAGAATCAACTGCAAAGAGAAGGAAGCCGGAAACAACTTCCGAGACCCAGCCCAGCCCAGTGGTGTGTGTGGGGGGGTTCTTCTTCCCCTTCAAAAGACAAGCTCCTCTCCTTGCCCAGAAGACACAGGCAGCCACAGCGGTTCACAGCAAAAGCCAGGGAACAGCTGCCATTTCATTTTTCATGATGTTTCCAATGGCCCGGCCTCTGCTCTTTGCTCCTTTCTCCTCTCACACCAGCCACACCCACTGAAGCCAGCAAAGTCCGTCCGACACAGGATGTTGGCAAAGAGCCCACAAGATCGTGGCCTGGAGAACCTCCGCCCTCCCCCCCACACACTTGTTTTTTAACAGCCATCCTGACAAAAAAAAACTCTGCTGAGCTTAAGACAATGGAAAGTGCGGAAATGGACACATTGACTTTGATGTTAAAAGGGCAAATGGACTAGGGACTCCCTTTTATGGTAGGATAAGAAAGAAATATAAAGACATGAACTTCTTTTTTTGACTCCCCCGGAGGGGATTTTTAAAATTATTTTATGCACTACCAATACTACAAAGAAAAAAGGAAGGGGGACTACACGTATGGGATAAAGTAAAGAATACCAACTACTACCTAAAAACCCAAGAGAGGAGATCTCCAATAAACTTAGTTACACTGAGTCATAACTTCAATTTCATCTCTATAAGCAGAGTCAAAACATTTTCATCCTTTCTCTCTCCTTATTTTAGTATTAAAATGCCTGAAAGCCAACCCCCCCCCCATTCTTCACTAACATATTGTTGAATTCAAGGCACAATTCAGAGTCCTTCAGCGCTTACTTCTTTTCCCCCTTTCTCAGCTTATAAGGACTTCTTGGAACTGCTGCTCCCTGCTCATGAACTTCTTAATGCTATGATATGAAGAAGCCTTTATGGTTTAAAATCTCACAGCCTATCTTTTTGTAATGGGAAATGATAAGTAGAGTCTTTCTCTCTTTGTAGTTGTCTTCTTTTCTTTCACTTATGAAAAACTAATAAAACTCTTTTTTAAAAAAAAGTAGAGGAGCTTTGCATACAGAAGACATTACTTTTGTTTCCTTCCGCTTTCCCCCTTCCCTTTCTTATTCCTGTATACCCTAAAAATTTAATAAAGGCTGCGGTCCACTTTCCACAATCCACTTTCAGTGCACTTTCCAACTGGATTTTTACTGTGTGAACTGGCAAAAACCAGCTGGAAAGTGGATTGAAAGTGAATTATTTAGTCCGCGTGACCGCAGCCAAAATGTGTTTTAAAAAAGAAAGAAAAAAGCTCTGGTGAGCTCAAAATCTTGCCCACTGTTTCTTGGGGGGTTGGTCTGACTAAAATGTTTTAGGTAGCTTCTCTGGGGCCAGGACCTAAAAGGCTACAGAAGGAGTTCCAGGACCCAACAGGAGGGAAAGGAGGAGTATTTTCCCACCTCACAGTCCCCCAAGAACTTCCTCTGCTCCCTACCACACCCCAGCCTGCTCTCCCCCCCAGTGGAAAAGTTTGGATGCCACAACAGACAGGCAGATGGTCAGATTCTTGAAAACACACAAGGGGCCTTAAAGGGGAACAAATCTAATCTGAAATCCTAAACCCCCTTAAAAAGGTAAAGGTTCCCTTGCTCGAAAGCCAGTCGAATCCGACTCTAGGGTTGTGGTGCTCATCTCCGTTTCAAAGCCGAAGAGCCAGCGCTGTCCGAAGACGTTTCCGTGGTCATGTGGCCGGCATGACTAGACACCAAGGCGCACCGAACGCTGTTACTTATGAGGGAGTGAATCTCACAGAGCTCAAGGGGGCTTTCTTCCGAGGAAACCTGCTCAGACCTGCACCGTTACTGCAGCAGACGCTTCTGCACATTAGAACCCCCGTCAAGAGGTTTGCGCAGGGTTGTGTGATCATTCACAAGGACAACAGCAGGACTCCGAAGAGGCGGCACAGAAATATTCTCAACAAACAAAGTGGGATACTTCCCTGTTTGCGGTTCTCCCGCTTTCCCCCCTCACGACGACCCTCTGTGGTAGGATCAGCGAAGCGAGAGTGTCTTCCAGGTCTGAATGGAGACAAGGGTTTCTCACCCAACCACAGGGGTTAAGTTAGCTAAATCAGGAAGCCAACAGGGACCATGGTTGTGAACGTGCTTCTCGTGTGTGTGTATCTGAGGCCTGCACAGACCTCTCCGATCCTCTGGCATGAGGGCAACTCCCGGGATTTTCCTGCCTCCCCCAGTGTCATGGCTAGAGATGTGAAGGCCCAGAAAACCCCACAAAAACATTCAGAAAAAAAACGGGGTTTTTTTTCCCGTTTTTTTTCCTGAAGTTTTTTTTTTTTCCCGAAAAATTGGAAAAATTGAAAAAAGAAAAGAAAAAAAATTGATTCTGGAACGTTTTATTTTAACATGATGACTAAAATATTTTAAGACAAGGTGTTCAAATATTTTCCAAATCATTTCTAATATATATATATATATATGGTATCAGATTGATCTAATGCTTGAGCAAGTCCTAGGTTACAAACTGAACTCTCCAATGCAAGAACAAGATGCATTTCTTCCTTTAGGAGGTGCTATTGTCAGAAGAAAATAAAAAGGTTCCAGTTTTGTTTTTCCATGTGGGCGGGTATTCTGTTTGTAACAACTGTTTGGATGCACTATATTTTTTAATATGTTCAATTTTTCCAAAAATTTCAGTTTTCCCCCGAAAAAAACGGGGGGGAAACGGGTTTTTTTTTTTAAGCTTCAAAATTTCCGGAAATTTTACATCTCTAGTCATGGCTAACTGGACCCGAGGAGCTCACTTTGGACGGTGCCCCTGGAAGGCCACGCTGGGCACAAGGCAGACCCATCTCCTCCCCCCACACACACACCAGTGCCAGCTGGGAGCAAGATGAGCCCCATACCATTACCGCCCTGGCACATTCAGGGATTGCAACCCCTAAAGGGGCTGTTTGGCCTGCAAAATGTCCCTCCTTAAGTCGAGTCTGGGGTTGTGGTTAGAATGGTGCCAGTCTAGGATCTAGGAGACCACCCGGGTTCAGATCCCTCCTCTGCCAGGAAGGGTGATCGGGGGCCAGTCCCACCCTCTCAGCCTGACCCACCTTTGCCCTCTCCACACCTCTTCCCACAATGCCCTGCTGCTGCAGCCTCCTGGCCCAAGGGAAGTAAAGGAGGGATCCCCACAAGGACTGGAACCCCAAGAATGTAAAGCCCCCAAGGGAACAACCAGAGGGACTGCACATTTAGGGAAGGTGGATGTGGATGTCTCCCTTCGCTAACCCCCAAAACTGAATCATTCACGACCTCTCTGGGTCCCATCTCGCTTGGCCCAAACTTAACTTCTGCGTGTGGGGGGGAGAGGTTCTTCTTCCCTCTCCTCAAGCACAGGCCACCTTTGGGGGGGGGGGGGCTCCAAACCACTCTGAGACCCTCCATGAGTGGAACAGACACACCATAATAACTAAATAAAAGTCACCTAGAGGTGGGTGGGTGTTCCAAGGGGGTGCAACAAGGTCCTTCTAGCTCCCGGAAGACATCAGGGCCCTGCGAGACCTTTTCCGGTTCCACAGGGCCTGCAAAACGGGAGCTCTTCCACCAGGCCTTTGATTAGGAGCCGCCACTGATGAGTGGGCCACTGGAGACAGCGCCACTGGCGTCGGTGCCGCCGGAATACATCTTGGACCACACGAAACAGAGCTTGGTTACGGCCTTTGTTTGTATCGTGTACGCCGCCATCATCACCACCATTACTAGTACTGTTTAGTTGCTTATGTAGTTGTAATTCGTGTAAGGTAAAAGTAAAGGTTCCCCTTGCTCGAAAGCCAGTCGAGTCCGACTCTAGGGTTGCGGTGCTCATCTCCGTTTCCAAGCCGAAGAGCCAGCGCTGTCTGAAGACGTTTCCGTGGCCATGTGGCTGGCATGACTAAACACCAAGGCGCACAGAACGCCGTTACCTTCCCACTGAAGTGGTACCTATTTATCTACTTGCAATTTCTCGCTTTCGAACTGCTAGGTTGGCAGGAGCTGGAACTAGAGACGGGAGCTCACTCCATCATGCGGCACTCGGGTCTCGAACTGCGGAACTACCGACCTTCCACAGCCTGCAGTTCAGCGTCTTAACCACTTGAGCCACCGCAGTTCCACAATTCCTTGTGCATTTTAATGTATTTATTGTTTTAGTGTTCTAATGTTGTTAGCCGCCTTGAGCCAGTTCTGTAGCTAGGCGGGATATAAATTGAAATAATAAATAAACAGATTAATTTGTTTATTAATTAATTAAAAAAAAACAGAACTGGCACGTCCCAGAAGGCCGTTCTGGAAGCCAAAACCAGCCCCCTCCCAACCTTGCACAAGAAGAGCTGGACCTGACCATTAATTCAGAATCCCCGTTCCAACAGCAGCCACTCAGATGGCTCAGGGAAGGGCCCCCCCCCCGGCAACCCTGGCTATCAGCCAACCATAGCGCCTCACACGCCCCCTTTAATGAGATCGACCTGCTTTTCAATCCACCAAAGCCAGTGGCCATTACTGCTTCTTGTGGCAGTGAGTTCCACAGGTCAGGCAGGGGTACCATCCCCGGGACTGGCTGCAACAAGCTCCCGACCACAGTCCCAGGCTGACTCCAAGTTCTGGTGTTCCCAGACAGGGAGGAAGTTCCTACCCGCTCTCTCTCTTGCATTTTTATAAGCTTTTATAAACTCTACCTGCCCCTGTGTCCTTTTCCTGCTAAACAAAATCCTTAGCCCTCTCCCCCCACCCCAAGACGGGCACCCGAATCCTGGGGAAAGAGCAACACCAGCCCTCCCAGAGAGACCTCCTGCCCCGGATTCCGCACGGAGCTCAGACAACGCATTTCGGGCGGGACACACCATTTAGGGGCTCTCTCTTCGTTTCCTATGAATCCCCCCTCTGGATGGAGAAAAGAAATCCACCCACCCACCCCATTTCTAAGCCACGGAAGCAGATCACACAGCGACTCCCCCGTATGCAGGCTCTCCCAGTGGAAACTCGGCCCTCTTCCCCCAAGACATGAGAGCTTTCAGCCCCCAAAGGGACTCACCGGAGCACCCCACCACCAGCCGGACGGCGAGGGCCATGTTGGATCAGGCCAGTGGCCCATCCAATGCTCTGTGTCACATAGCAGACAAGACTCAGGTGTTATCAGGAGGCCCACTAGTGGGGCCAGAACTCCAGAAGCCCTCCCACTGTTGTCCCCCCCAAGCACCAATATAGAACATAAGAGAAGCCATGTTGGATCAGTCCAATGGCCCATCCAGTCCAACACTCTGTGTCACACAGTGGCCAAAACCCAGGTGCCATCAGGAGGTCCACCAGTGGGCCGAGAACTCCAGAAGCCCCCCACTGTTGCCCCCCAAGCACCAGGAATACAGAGCATAAGAACACAAGACAAGACATGCTGGGTCAGTCCAATGGCCCATCCAGTCCACACAGTGGCTAAAACCCAGATGCCATCAGGAATAGAGATGTAAAATTTACGGAAATTTTGAAGCTCAGAAAAAAAAAACCCCGTTTTTTTCTGGGGGAAATGGAAATTTTTGGAAAAATTAGCATTTCTTTTGTCTTTTCTAGATTGAAAGTCATTCTGTTACTTTAGGAACATAAAATATGACTATGGACATTTTTACTTGGCATGAAATTATCACAACTAGCATATTAAAAATATAGCGTATCCAAACAATTATTACAAACAGAATACCCACCCACATGCAAAAGCAAAACTGAAACTTTTTTATTTTCTTCTGACAATCGCACCTCCTAAAGGAAGAAATGCATCTTGTTCTTGCATTGGAGAGTTCAGTTTGTAACCTAGGACTTGCTTGTCCTCAGTGCACAGAAATTAGATCAATCTGAAATTATTTGGAAAATATTTGAACACCTTGTCTTAAAATATTTTATTCATCATGTTAAAATAAAACGTCCATAATAAAAAAAAAATCTTTCCTTTTTTCAATTTTTTCAGAAAAAAACAAAAAGGCTTCAGAAAAAAAGGGGGTTTCCCCCCCTAATCTTTCCGGGTTTTTTCTAGGTCTTCACATCTCTAATCAGGAGGACCACCAGTGGGGCCCGAACTCCAGAAGCCCCCCACTGTTGCCCCCCAAGATTAAGAATACAGAGCATAAGAACACAAGAGAAGCCATGCTGGGTCAGGCCAATGGCCCATCCAATCCAACGTTCTGTGTCACACATGGGTCAAAACCCAGGGGCCATCAGGAGGTACTCCACAGGGGCCAGAACTCCAGAAGCCACAGGAGGTCCACCAGCAGATCCAGAACTCCAGAAGCCCTCTCACTGTTGCCCCCCAAGCACCAGGAAAACAGAATATAAGAACGTTAGAGAAGCCAGTGTTGGATCAGGCCAGTGGACCAACACTCTGTCTGTGTCACACAGTGGCCAAAAACACCAGGTGCCCTGAGGAGGTCCACCAGTGGGGCCAGGACACTAGGAGCCCTCCCACTGTTGACCCCCCCCCCCAAGCACCAAGAATGCAGAGCACAAGAACATAAGAGACACCAATGTTGGATCAGGCCAACGGCCCATCCAGTCCAACACTCTGTATCACACAGTGGCCAGAAACGCCAGGTGCCATGAGAATACATAACCTGCCCTCTCCCCCCACCCCAGTACACGAGCTGCGCTTGGGACCCCCGGAGGGACTCACCGGAGCCGCCCACCGCCAGCAGGAGGGCGACGGTCTCAAGGGCCAGGACGCCCCTCGGGGACGACCCCATCTTAATCTGGAGCTCGAGGTGCGCGCTGCCAGGAAGTGTCACGAGTCGCTGGGCAGACCCGCCGCCGGCAGTGGACGCTCGGCTGGGAAAGAGGAAACGGAAAGTTGCCTGCGCACTTTAGTCCCTGCTGGGCGCCGTTCATAGGGGGAGGGCTGGGGTTGGGGAGCCCAGCAGGAGGGGAGCCCGGCAGGAGGGGGCGGGGGCGAGAGGGTTTCCTCTCTCGCGGGGAGGAATTCAGGGGCGTCTCAGACCCGGGCAGCGCCTGGCACTGTCCGCGGGTTACCCCCCCCCCCCCCTGCCCCGCACCAGACTCCCACCCACAAAAGGGGCTCGGCGCTGGCGGCGCGTGCCTGCCACGTGCCACCCCCCTATGGGGGGGGGGGGCTCGGTTGGCGTTGCAGGGCTCCCTCTAAGCAGTGGAGTCCTGTGAGCAAGCTACTCCTGGCATTAAACTTGTGAGGGAGCGATTTGCCTCCTGCATAAGTCAGTTTGCTCTGGAGCCCTCCCTTCCCGAGTTAAGACAAAAAAATAAAAAATGGGTGAGCCAGAGGCTAGAAAACTGTGAGCTAGCTCAGGCTAACTCAGCTTAGAGGGAACACTGCCAGTGCAGCGCTCCCTCTCAGCTGTGGAGTCCTGTGGGCAAAAATTCTACTTTGGGAGCTGCTGGCATTAAAGTTGTGAGGGAGCGATTTGGCTACTGCATCAATTAGTTTGCTCTGAAGCCATCCCTTCCTGAGATGAGAAAAGAAAAAAAAATATGGGTGAGCCAGAGTCTAAAAAACTGTGAGCTAGCTCAGGCTAACTCAGCTTAGAGGGAACACTGCCAGTGCGGTGCTCCCTCTCAGCTGTGGAGTCCTCTGAGCAAAAATTCTACCTTGAGAGCTCCTGGCGTTAAAGTTGTGAGCGAGCGATTTGGCTGCTGCATCAATTAGTTTCCTCTGGAGCCCTCCCTTCCCGAGCTAAGACAAAAAACCCGGGTGAGCCAGAGGCTAAAAAACTGTGAGCTAGCTCACGCTAACTCAGCTTAGAGGGAACACTGCGGCTGCCAGTTCGGTGTAGCCTGAGCATGTGCAGAGAATGAGCCCCATGGGTGTGCGCTGTGTAGATCTACGCAGACCTTCAAGGGAATGCACCCTCAAAATTGCATGGTTTCGTTTTACGAGAAATCTTTTTTTTTTTGGGAGATGCAACCACCTTGCAGTCCACAGATGAGTCACTGCACAGAGCATGCACGTAATCCCCCAGCCCCCTTAACAGAGGTAATACTTGAGAACCGAATGCAAAAGAGAAATAAACAAGATTAGTGTAATTTCCCTGGACCCGATGTGTCACATCATGCACAGGGAAAACCCCTCCCACAGTCCCACCCCACTTCACAGGTCATGAAAGAAGGACAAATGCTTCTTTTATACCTGAAATGTCAACCAAGTCATCCTATCACACCAATATTGAACTCCCTCCCCCCAAATAAAGCTATTCTGTTACAGTCTTGTTTGAGAGCCAGCGTCCTGCCATGATTAGAGTGCTTGACTGTGATCGGAGAGACGCGGGTTCGAATCCCTACCCTGCCACGGAAGCTTGCAGGGGGACTTTGGCTCAGTAATACAATCACTGTCTGACCTGCCTCTCGGGGTCGTGGTAATAAAATGGAGGAGATGATGAGGATGTAAGCCATTCGGGGGATAAAGGTGTGGTATAAATGAAGGTAATAAACAAATCCCCTCACCTGCCTCTGTTGCGGAATCTCTGCAACCAATAAGGAGAAGACCAAAAATAAAAAACATTTCTTTCTAAACCAGTCCTGAGTAAGGTGTTTCAAGCAGTTTTGAGGCGGTGAAGGGATTGACGTAGTTTTGTACTTTTAAAATTTGTCTTGCCAGTCCAGCCAAACCTTGGGGGTGGTGGGGAAGGATTTCTGTTAACCTCACAAATAATTCCGGCCTCGGTCCCGCAGCTTCCCAAAGAAGGGAGCTTTACATGTAACCCGAACCCTTTAATCAAAGCTTGTGTCTCCCTTTTCATTTGATCCTCGCCAGCTGGAGTTTAAAGAATCCAGAGGATGGGGGGGGGGAAGACACTCTTCAGTCCAGGGGGGCAATTCCTCTGTTTCTCTTTCCCCCATGCACCAAGCCACCACAGGGTCTATTGGGGACATTTCAGAAATCAAATGTCCCTTTTTATAACTTTCAAAATAGGACAGGAGTGCTTCTGGAGCTCTGGCCCTGCTGGTGGACCTCCTGATGGCCCCTGGGTTTTGACCACGGTGTGACATTTATTTATTTATTGGGTTTCTATCCCGCCCTCCCCGCGAACGGGCTCATGGCGGCTTACATTTAAAGGCACTATGTGCCAGAGTACATAAAAACAGATAAAACCACCCTATCATTACAATTAGTGAACATAGAAATGCTCTTTCCAATCACATTGAAGATGGCATCTTGTAGATGGACACAAGTCCCAATTCAGCCGTATCTGTCTCGTACGTTACTGTGGCTCGATCTCCACGTAAGGGAGGTATCGACTGGGAAGTTTTGGGAATTCATCATCAATATTCTATAATAAGAAGTATTAGAGCCTGCTTTTAGAAGCTAGAAAGTAGCACACACGAAGGACGAACTCTGCTATAAAAGGTTCATTTGTAGAAAATAAGCTTACACGGCAGAATGCAAGATGTACAGCAGGATGCCGGATGCCATTCATCACGAGGTAGACATCTATAGGAACTACTTTTTGATAAGGATAGCAAACCAAGAGGTAATAAATATCTACTCTGTCATGGGAGGGCCGGATAAGGTATAGCATCCCAATTATACTTGAGGCAGAAGAGGAGGAGGAGGAGGAGGAGGAGATTGGATTTATACCCTGCCCTTCACTTGGAAAAGGAGGTGCGGTGGCTCAAGTGGTTAAGACGCTGAACTGCAGGCTGTGGAAGGTCCGTAGCTCAGCCGTTGCAGCTTCTCCTTGGAAATAATTACCTGCGTCTAAACAACAAACCCTTCAAAGGAAGCGGGCGAGGACTCCGGCCCTGTGTGGCTCCGCCCTCGAAAACAGTGTTGCACTTACCGTAACTGTTGTTCATCCAGTTGTCCTGTGCAGGCACACATGGGATCTGCGCAGCTGCAGGCCAGCCACCGGAAGGTTTTTTTCTTAGCTTAGTTACCGAGTGGGAGGAGCCCCTCCCAACTGGAGAATCGTAACCGTTTCCCGCCTAACGGTCACGTGATCCAGGGGGGGCTCCGCACACTCCCTCAGTTCTCCTGAGTCCGCCGCTGAGCCTCCGAAGAAGTATGCAAATCATATAGGTTAGTTTAATTTTCTTGGCTCACGCGGGGCTGGAGGGAGGGATGTGTGCCTGCACAGGACAACTGGATGAACAACAGTTACGGTAAGTGCAACACTGTTTTCATCTGCGTTGTCCTGTGCAGTCCCACATGGGAGACTACCTAGCGATAAGTCTATTGGTGGTGGGGTGAGCCCTGGTGCAATGTAACAGTTTGCAATACTGCAGACCCCACTGAAGTCTCCTCTCTATAGTTTACATCAACACAATAGTGTTTAATAAAAGTATGTGGAGAAGCCCATGTAGCTGCTTTACAAATCTCTTGTAATGGTACTCCCATTGACAGGGCAGCAGATGATGATTGGGCCCTCGTTGAATGTGCCGTAAGTCCCAAAGGGCACTCCACTGCAGCCTCACGATACGCTTTGCGGATGGTGGATACAATCCATCTTGAAATGGAAGGTGCAGATGCTGCTTTCCCCTTGGACTGTTCAGCGTAGCATAAGAACAATCGAGGGGAACACCGAATTTGTTTTGTCCTACTCATGTAATATAAAAGTGCTCGTCTCACATCTAAAGTATGAAAAAGCCTCTCTTGGTCTGATGTGGTAGAAGCAAAAAAGGTAGGGAGAATTATCTCCTGACTTAGGTGAAACTTTGATACCACCTTCGGCAGAAATGTCAAACTTGGTCGAAGCACCACTCTATCTTCATAGAATTTTATATATGGGTGATCTGCTCGTAGTGCAGCCATCTCACCCACCCTCCTAGCCGATGTTATAGCCACCAAAAAGGCTGTCTTCCATGTAAGTTCCTGCAAGGAACAAGTCCCCATGGGTTCAAAAGGAGGTCTCATTAACTGTGAAAGCACTAGTGGAAGCGACCACTGAGGTACAATGGAGGGGACTGGAGGGAATAAATTTGCCAAACCCTTTAAGAATGCCTTTGACATTGGATGGGAAAACACTGAAGTCCCCTCTATTGGAGCATGAAAAGCAGAAATTGCTGCCAAATAAACTTTTATTGAAGAGTTAGCTAGTTTCTTTCCTTTCAAAGTCAGTAAAAATTTGAACACAAGTTCCAGAGGACAAGAATCAGGGACGAATCCTATGTCTTGCACCCACGTTGAAAACTTAACCCACTTAGCATTATATGATGCCCTAGTCGAGGGCTTCCTAGCATTTTCTATAACATGAAACACAGAGGGGAAAACAGATCCTACAGCGGTTGAAGGAGCCATGCTGTTAGTCTGAGACGTTGTAGGTCCGGCTGCTGCCTTCCATGTACCTCCAGAGAGGTCTTCCCCCATGGGAGGTGCATATATATGCCCTGGGACCTTCGAAGCAGTACCTGGAACCATAGCTGTCTTGGCCAGAACGGGGTCACCAGAATGCAATGAGCATTGTCGTGTACAATCTTTGACAGTACCCTTCCCAGTAGTGGAACGGGGGGGAATGCATATAGAAACTCCTGGGACCAATTCAGTTGAAAAGCATCTCCGAGAGAGCTTGGATCTCCCCCTGCTCTGGAACAATAACGAACCATCTTTGTATTGAAGCGCGTTGCAAATAAGTCTAGGCTTGGGTATCCCCAGCCCTGAAATACTGGAAGCAGAACCTCCACAGGGAGGGACCATTCGTATCTGCTGTCTGACAGCCGGCTTAAGCCGTCCGCTGTCACATTGTTTTTCCCTGCAATATGAATGGCATGTAATGCTGTGTGGTGTTTTATTGCCCAGTTCC